GTTTAAGTAATAAAAAAATATTTTTTTAAATGTAAAATAAATATTTTTTACATGAGAAAAAGGGGACTTATCCCATTATTTAAATGTTTTTTTTAATGTTTCAAAAAATGTTTTTCAAACATTTAAAAAAATATTTTTTAAACATCATTTTGTTGATTGGGAAATTGATCCTGATTCATGACACTATTGTTTATTAAAAAAACTTGGCGCTGCTAAACCAAATGTTAATTGCGCTCTTCCTCCTTCCTTACTAAAGTGTTAAACTCTTTCTTTCTTTTGTGCATACGTGTGCGTGCACGTGTGTGCGCGGGTGTTATGGATTAGGGATTAGAATTAATTGTAAGTTTAGAATGTATCTTTAGTTGTTTAGCAGCGCCAAGTTTTTTAAATAAACAATAATGTCATGAATCAGGATCAATATGTATACCAAAATTAAATTAGAAAAAGCGATCTTTTAATAAAATATTTTGTTGTATTAAATTTGTTCACATTATTGAATAAGTATTAAAAATTTGTCTCATTAATATTATTATTAATATTAATATTATTTCCTTTATTTCTTCCAATAAAATTTTATGCATGATATTGTTTGGATTAACATTCTTAATAATATAAAAAATAATAAAGTACTTAGATTGCAAAAATATTCAGTTTAGTTGGCGCCATTTGGTGATATTACTTTTGTAGAGAAGATACTTTGGAAGGGGGAGAAGATAAAAATTTTGTTTAAATAAAAGATATCCAAATATTTCATAAGTTTTATCGACCTACACTAGCTATAGCGATTTTTGTTGACCGTATCAGGTTATTAAAATTCTTATTGCGAAAAATATTACTCCAGCCAGGATTCGAACCTGGGACCTCCCTACAATCCGTGACGGGCGTCTTAGCCAGCTCGACCACCGGGGCTGTGATAATACTATTCGCAATAACGTGTATATAACTTTAAGATGTTGTTTACGCGTCTATTTCGACTTTTCAGAAACTGTGCGTCGATACGGATTGTCGACCGCACAATAACCTGTCGATACGCGATTTTTAGAATTTCATCCAAATAACTATAATAAATTATATACTTCTTGATTGGATGACGCTTATACTTGGCGTCATTTTTAAACCTTTTTTATTAAAAAAGGTTATTTTTTAAGGTGATTTGAATACAGCGAAATATTTTACCTTTGTAACGTTTTGGCGCACTGAGGGATCCAAACATACGATAATTGATTATGCGCGTAGCAGACGTCAAGCTATTTGTTGACACGAATGGAGAAGATTTGCCACCACGTAGTCCTCCATAATGATTATTATTGTCTTCCATGGCAGTATCATCTCTTAGGATACTGCGCACTATGCTCTTTTGATCACTGACTAATTGTATCCGTGTTTTCATGTTCTGTAATCAATTGTAAATTATATTATACTTAGATTTTAATACTGTAAATAGAAAAAGAAATTCTCACAATACTCCTTATTTTTTGACATCATATATCTATTTATAAGTATAATTGAGTGGAATCTTTATATTAGAATTAGATAGAATATCGTGATTAGCTTATAAAGATCAAAATTATTCGATTATCATCAGCAATAAATCTGCCATAAAAATATTAATATTATCATAAATTACAATAAATTTACTATTACCTTATGTTGTCGTAATTATAAAAAAATCACTAAATTATACATTATTATATTATAAATAAATAAGGAATAGGTACTTCATATACATACATGGTGGAAAAAGAAAGGTGAGTCAAGGCAGGCGACCAAGTTTCGTTCGCTTTGCGCAACTCACCAAATCAGCCATCTTGTTTTACAAACACATACTTGGTCTTGGTCATGTATACCGTGGTATACATGGTGTCATATTTTATATAATAATACATGACTGTAATCTGAGAGTTATCAAAATCTTCTAAAAAGATATATTTATTCATTCAGATAGTTTCTCCGGTGACTTTTTCAACAGGTAATTTAATTTTTAATTTGTTATTTTGATATGGAAGTTTGGCACGGTAAAGAACTTCTGCAATACAGAACTAAACGAATATTAATGTGAAGAGGTTAGGAAACTTGTCATAATAAAATATGTCATAATAAAATAATTTTCAGTGACTTATATTTTGTTTAGAAATAAAAATGCATCCTAATTTGCTTCTTCACGAAAAAATAAATAAACGGCCACTTCTTTATGCAAGAAAATGTATTTTATTCATTCTATTATTTTGAATATCTGCTGGTTCCCCCGCAGTAATGGCTGACATGGTGGCAGCTTACTATTGGTCGGTGGAATTACGCTGCGCCTTGACTCACCTTTCTTTTTCCACCATGATATACATACTATTATAAAATAAAGTCGGTGAAAAGAGTTTTGAAGAGTAGGCCTGGATAGCTCAGACTGTCTTTTATTGTGATCAATATTTGTTTTATAACTACACTCCGCAAAAAAATTAGGGGATCACTTTCTTCCGTAAGAAAAAAGGTTATTTTCAACTGGCTATAACTTTGTTGAAAATAATCCAATTTTAATCGCCAAAAAAGCATTTTGAAGGTTGAAGTTTCAACTTTCAGAATCTCTTGCAGATTTATTTAATTCGTTATTAGTTCCAAGTTATGATATTAAAAAGCGGCACCTGACAAATTGTAAAATTTTTCTTCAAATTTGGTAAGGCACATGAAGTGCAAATCAAATCGGAACAAAATTTCGTTTATTGCGTTGTAAAGCGTAGAATTTTCTCTTCAATTCCCTTTTTTGAAAATAATTCTACGATTTTTTTTCATCGAGTTGTTCCGTAGCAAAGCAAAAACCGTCCTAAACACTTTGACCGCCTATAAAAGCCGAACCAATCATCGTACACCATTTTTTTAAAAAGTAATCGAAAGCTAAAAGTCTATCCTGTAAAAAACAATCTTTCTTTTTAAACTTAGGTTAATTTTGACTGTACAATATTTATTTTAAAATTAGATTAAAAATCGAATTTTTCCGTTTTTTATTAAACTTGATGTAACTTTACGAAAAATAATCAAAATGATAAAAATTTTACGGCATCTTAAAGGGGAGATTCTGCCGATTAAAATGGGTACTTGTAAAAGTGGCCATGATTTTTTTTTCGCTATGTCCGACATCTTTGAATTGGTCAAAGTGGAAAAAAATCATAGGATCACTTTGTTCTTACACATTGGAGGGAAGTAGGTGGCGTCCTATTATTTTTTCTTTGTGTCCGATATTTTTCCTTATCACTACTGAATTGTTCCAACACGAAAATTCAGTAGATACCCCGCCGGTATTAGCATTATCCAAAACGTACTACAAGGTTACACGGTCGGATTTACGCTTCACTGTCCGTTTGTCTGTCTATCTGTCTGTCTGTCTGATTTTGAACCAACAGAGATGAGACACCGCGATTCGTTACTCTCGCAGTATTTTTCGACTCCAAATTCTATTATGGGGGGGGGGGGAGGAAGGATTAATACCCAAATAGCAACATGTGTTCATTCTGAGCTCATTTTGCATACATGCATCTGCAAAACCTGAGGTCAAGAATAGACACCGATGAGGGCTCATATGCGGGTCAGAATGCAGACATGTTATGAAATCACGGAAAACTTGCAAAGTAGCAACATAACAAAGACAAAAATTGCATTGAATATAATACTGCATATTATCAGCTATTTGGATCACATAAAATGACAACAAGGTTTGCTTGTGTTTATAGTACTTTATGAGTTTATTTTATGATTAATAATTTTGTGAGGTTATATGGCTACGTTCGGGGAGACGCTATTTAGCGCTATGAGCGTACTCTGTCCTTGTTCAACTTTTGCAAGTAACAAGGACACAGCACGCTCATAACGCTTAAATAGCATCTCTCCCCGAACGCAGCCTATGTTGAGATGTATACAATAAAAGCAAAATAATATATGCAAATACTGTATATTTTTCAAAATGATTTCCACCAAAACAAACTGTACGAAGTTGCTCGGTGTTTTAATATATACAGGGTGTTACTAAATTCATGTTACAACGTTGAGGGGTGAAAGTACAAATTAAAACAAACATTTTTTACCAATACACATGAGGGCAGAAACGAATTCCTAACCCGTTGGAACGCGCGATGAGTTCAGGGTAGGCACCCGTTGACTCCTAAATGCCGTGGTTTACGGCCAGTGCAAACCGTTGAAGAGCTCACCGAAAGAATTATCCAAGCGTTTGATGAGGTACGAGCTTCCCCAGGCAAGTTGCAAAGGATAAAAGAAAACATGATTCGCCGTTGCCACTTGTGCGTCGATCAAGGTGGTCGTCATTTCGAGCCCTTGCTCTAAAATGTGTTATCGGTTTACAGAACTGTTAATAAACCGTTGTTTAATTGAACTGTTGTTTTAAACAAAATCCCAACATTTGTTCTTAAACGTAGCGGCCAGCGTAGTAAAAGATGTGCACAACGGGTTGCCTACCCTGAACTTTTCGCGTGTTCCAGCGGGTTAGGGGTTCGTTTCCGCCCCCATGTGTATTGGTAAAAAATGTTTGTTTTGATTTGTACTTTCACGCCTCAGGCGTTGTAACATGAATTTAATAACACCCTGTATAAAGTCTTAGATGAATCGCATATTACTTCTTTTGGAACAGATATTTTTGCTCGCAGCCATTCCATCAACCAGAAAGATATTGAATTTGTTATTTAGCTTTCTGACACCATTTGAGTTATCGCAAAATTAGAACAATTTTCTGTATTTAATACACATGTTTATAAAAAGATGTGCTTAGATTTGTTATTATTCGGTCTATTAAGTTTTTTAATTATACTGCCGGTGGCATTGATAGCGATTGAACAGCAATTTCGTGCGGCATATTCCCTATATACAGCAAGTAGACCAGTAATGAACGAAAAACGGATTTAATCCTAAATTATGTATCATATTTTTGTATGTACTTTCCTGTGCTACCAATAATGACTTAACTGGATCTTTGTCGAAGCATAAATATTGATTGTATTCTTCTTTTACATTTCTTAACGTTTTTGCTTCATACAAATGTGGGGGTTCATGATCATTCATTACCATCAATTCTTGTGCCTGGCATATAGACTACATTAACGGGCGTATGAAAAGTGTTGATACGCAAAAAGCCACGAAGATTTTATCTGATACGGAAGAAAATCAGGAAACTAAAATAGAAAAAGAGGCAAATGATGAAAAAAATTTAGTTACAAATAAAGATATTCTATCAATATGCTCGTTATGCAAATCGAGTGATAAGCTAAGTAATCAGTATCACGTTTGTATTGTATGCAATAGATCTGTATTTGATACATGTTCTAAAACTTTTAGTAGTAAAGACGTATACAGTACTCATAGAATATGTATTTCATGTCGGAATATATCTAAGGATGATATATTACACGCTATAGATAGTAACAAAGTTGAAAATTGTAATTTAAAATTAAAATGCGTAATTTAACAAAATCGACGAAAAAAATCAAGATATTTAGACAAAAATAATATGTGTTTTAATCTAGAAAGAACGAAATTAAAAGACATTCCTATTTTGCGCAATAGAAATAATATTATTAAATTAGTAAATCTAGGCTACTCATTTTTATGCCTTATTTAAAATTTTCTGTAGCTTGTTGATACTTATCAAACATTCATCTAATCACGTCTTGGAAGAAGAAAATGTTCCTTCACAACAATGTATGTTAGTGATATGTTGTTTGCAATCTCATGACACGTGCTGCTATCAAAATTATAACAGCAGAGTCCGCATTGGCAAATTGATGCATTCACGATATAGCATCTTTGAAAAGCAATTTGCCAGTAATTTGCCGGCAACTTATGTAGTGATCATAAATCGTTTAATTCAAAATTCAATTTTTACATATTTTTGGATATAACTGCTTTTACATATTGGCTACTCATATTAAAGCTTATATAGCGCTAGTTGCTATCTATAAAATCTATTTTAATTCTTTCAAAACTTCACACTTCTATTTCAGACATCAATATATTTTTTTAAACTTTAATATATTATAAAATTTTCAGACTTTAATATATAAAATTAACTTTATTTCTATAATACACTCTTGTTGCTGTAATAATTATTAAATTTTTTAAATATTATATATTGAATATAATAGTCCAGCTCTCCATAATACTTGACTGATACACGTAAATTAAAGAGGGTAATAGAAAAACAATTAACATACATCGTTACTACAATACAACCCACATTTTGTAACAACGGAGAAAATGTATGTTAGCAGTAGTGTTACAGCAAGCCCTTTAATGGTTTTATATTATTATATAACATATTTAATAATTTTATTATAGGTTTATTCATCATATTAGAGGTGTATGACACTTACAATGCTGATATTGGTGTAGAATTAAGCAAAA